TATCTTGTTTACTCATCTAATATAATTTCTATCACTTTTTTGTGATATAATCAAGAAAATAAATACTAGAGGACAAAAACGAATCACCGAGGATGGTGAAATTTTATTAGAATGAAGACGAACGTTTTTCTTCTTTTATCTAACGTTATTTTCTGCAGGAAAAATCAGTTATTCAAGACGAATCTAGAGAAAGATAAATTCTTTGTAAAAATAGTATAAATATTTATCTCATGCTCGTATCAGAGTCACAATTATTTCTTGTTACTTCATCGTCATTATGCATACTCTCATTACATTATGTGTTTTATTTTGTGTTATTTATTCCATGACCTTAAATGTTATCGAGGTACGTAATGAGGTCGACTCTACTTATGAAACGTTTCCAAAACTTGTTCGCGCCATCACAACCTCTAAAGTAGTCAGCAAAACAATTTCTTCTCCACAACTTGGGACGGCAGCGAAGTTTGCTATCCTTGCCGGCAGTACAGTGAGTAATGCGGGCCTCAATACACTGGTTAGAGGCGGTTATGTTCGAATATGTTGCCACCTTATATAACACTAACTCTGCAAATCTCGCGTTCTAAGAACTATGTTCAAACAACATAATTTTTGTACCGCTTCTGTGACATTGGTAATAGTCCAGGCGTGGCATGTACTGGTTTCAGTAATAAAAGTTTCATTGGCACAATCTCGCTGGGGCTAGGTTCGAAAGCTACGCAAGCTAAAGTTGACTTGGCTCTAGCTGTCAGTCAAGCAAGAAAAGCACCGAAACCTAAATCCATGACTGGTGTTGATCTAGGCGGGCTTACACTGTACCCTGGTGTGTATAAATTTGACAGTACAGCATCAATAGCTGCACCGCGTGGTAAACTGACATTGTCGGGTTCGGGATTGTTTATATTTCAAATTGGTAGTGCATTAAAAACATCCCTTAGCAGTCAGGTTCTGTTGCGAAATGGTACATTACCACAGTGTGTGTTTTGGTTGATTGGAAGTAGTGCAGTGTTGGGTAGTGGATGTAAGTTCCAGGGTATTCTAATGGCGTCAGCATCGATTGGATTTATGGATGGTGCCTCACTGGTTGGTGCAGCCTATGCACAAAACGCAGCCGTAACACTAATTAATAACGTTATCACCGTTCAGCCAGCATGTAATCTATAAATTATTTAATCCTATTCATCTCTTTATCCACAGCCGTTTTTTGTCGCCCCGTGAACACAAAGTAGGTACCTCAGTCTTGACTTAATTCGCCTTGAAGTGGTTGAAACATTCTTTCATTTCTTTAGGTATGTGCTTCAACAAGCGCAGGAGAGTGAAATTGGAGATGTCATTGGAGGAAACAACAGTACAGAAGTATTAATTATTACATAAACTATTTGAAAATAAACAGTTTTCAGAGTATCAACATTTTTGTTTTTAGGCTTCTCTTGATACGAATATATGTAATATAGCTATTTCGAATAAATTATTCTTTTTACCAGAGAAATGTGCGGTTGATCTTTTCAGGAAGGGATACAGTTACCTAAGCACATTGAACCGCTAAATCCCCTAGGTAAGAGCAGCTTCTCGATGTGTCTATACCACCGATAAAAGGACGGGAACGTATAAGGTTAGAAATCGGCCCACTCTCTTTTTCGAGTAAAAGTGGTTGCTATCAACGAAAAACGCAACAGTATTCAGTCCCATAGGGAATCAGATACATTTCTTCACTAAAACCCTGTTAAGTTCTCGACAATACCATTCACATCGGCAACCTTCAAACCAGCCCTACATGATGAGTAAACGCTACTTCTCTCATCCTTCTTACACTCGCGGAGGCTAACAAAACACATGAATCGATAGCCCTTGAAATTCTCTACAAGCTGAGCTACTCAGAATGTCTTGACTAGTTGAGCCAATCACCGCAGACATGCAAAACAAATGTTCAAGTACCGAAAACACTAGTAGAACACTACTTTAGTCATATTTTCTCCATCAACAAAACATCAAACACTTCTCTATAATATACTCTTCGATAGTCCTTCAAATTCTCTACAAACTGAGCTAGTCAGAATGTCTC